TAAAAGTATAACTATCGGCATTTATCAAGGTTCACAGAGTTTCCAGAGGCATGTTGGTTTTGAAGCAGATGCCACTTCTGTTTACAAATATATAATGATATCTTCAAATATTCTCATCTCATTACATCCAAGAATTTCCTAATAGCTGAAAGGAATATGGGAAGGGGGCAGAAAACAGAATAAAAAGTTAAAACATTGTTTTAAATTCTTCCCGGGGTGAAATGAAGAGCAATAAATGCAAAAAGACTGTAAAGAATTTGCTCTGAAATAATAAAGGCAAAGGATAAGAATATCTGTCAGAGTTGTGCGTACTTGACATGCATAAGGCCACAGTATATTTTTGTAGAGTGGATTAATAAAGAAATGATATTTTTTCAATAAAATTTCTCAGTTTGATAATTAACACTTGTTTAAGATGACTAGGGAGATATAAAGATGGAAATGTGAAAGAAAAAATTTCAAAGAGAAGTGGATAGAGGGATTTAAAAAAAAATAATATTAGAATTTAGGAGAAAAAAGCAAGAGGGGAAATTAAGATTCTTGCATACACTTGCAGGTAGAAGAGAGAAGGCAAGTAACAAAAGATAATGAATTAGTGATGGGAAATCTGTATTAATAATTTAGTAGTAGTAACAGAAAATTCTTGGAAAAATACTAGAAAGGATGAAAGGGAAAACTCCCATTCCTTCTTCATGTTTATGTAATTTAGAACATATATCATCGATTAATTATAATTATACATCAAGTTCAAAGCAAGTTTTTGACACTTTTAATGAGGACTTTTTGTTACCTTTTCCTGAACTAACATTATTAAGTAGAAAATATTGGCATCACACCTATTATTAGTTATTCAAATTGCTAATATCTGGGTGTTGCAGAATAATCTTTTCCTTGACCTTGAATTCTGCCTTTGTGACCTAAATCATAAGATTTGTTTGATTCTCATTCAAAATAATCAGAATCTTTTTTTTCATTTCAAGAAGCTCCACATAGCTCTCTTCTTTCTGTTTATCATTAGTCTCTCATATCTGTGTATATAAAAAGTTGAAGGATAGAAAGTATATAGGACAATGAGAAGTTGTAGGATACATGGAAGGAGGGAGAAAACTTTTATTTTTAGTGTATTTGTATTGTAAAATAAGTAATTGCAAAAGTAATAAGGTAGTATTTGTTACTTTGAATGCTGACTTGCTTTATTTTTCTGTTTTCAACATGTTTAAACATTTAATGTTTTGAATAAGCCTCATTGAGTAGTACTAGACAAAGAGAATCCTATTTGTTGTTGTTGTCAATTGCCATCGAGTCCAGTGTGATTCATAACAATGCTATTAAAATCAGATTTTATCTAAATCCTGTCCCACATCACATCTGAAACCTGTGCCATTCTCATTATCTGACATACTTGATCCCATTGTTGAAGTCACTGTATCAGTCTATTTTGTTTAGAGTTTTCTCTTTTTCTCTGACTCTCCACTTTTCCAAGCATGATAATCTTTTTTTCTTCTCTTAGAATTGCAGGGAGATCTGTGGGGCTTAGGATCTCTTAATCTATCTTCAGAGAAAGCAGTTTGGAATTTATCCCTAGAAGCAAAGTTACCTTATGTCAAGTTGAATTTCAAGTGAAATAATCCTTGTTTTTCAGGTGCCTTATTCCCTAAGCTAAATCCCTGGATAGTGGGGCTGGCTGTGTTCCTGGCTCTACTTATTATTTCCATGGTTACGATCTTTGCTGTATTCGGGACTCGACTCAAACATTCCAAAAAGATCAAAGGTTAGTGGAGGGGAAAAAAGTAAGGAATGGATATAATTTTTTGAACAGTCAGATGGTAATGGTAAAAAAGAAAGAATGAGAAATGGTCTTCAATATTTAAAACCTGAAGAGAAAGAAATAGCCATCTAAATAGGTTTGGCTTTGCGTATCTGTTGGGTAATAGGACCACTTGAATATCATAAGCTATCTCATGAATAACACATATGCTTGTTCCTACATTCAACACAGACCACATGTACAGTCTGAACTCTGGATCTCAATCAGGAGTTGGTTTCAGCTTGAAAATGTTACTACTATGTGGTGAGTGCT